GACTTGTAAACTCCATTAAGCAAGACCTTTTTGTATCTTTGTAGCCCCTCCAGTGGGCCCCTGCATGCAGCTGCCGCTGTTCAGTATGTATTCATGGGAGAAAGGCACTGATGTTAGCAAAAGGACTGTGTGTGGCTATGGGTGCTTAGGTAGTTCACCTCCCTTACTAGGGATCATTAATCCAGCGTTCGTAGCTGTCAGGCTGCAGGGTTGGGAGAGGGAGTCTTAGGTTCTTCTGGCATTTGTTCTTGGCTCTTTGCCATCTGTTTTTGCCCTGGAGAAAGGAGAGGCCCCAGCGAGGAGCCAGCAGACATGGTGCAGAGCAGGGATGGGGTCAGTGTGTCAGTGCAGGTGTGGGGCAAGGAACCAAGAGCTTGCTCAACCAGGAAGGGGGTGCAGGCACTGCGCCTAGAGCACTCTTGGCTCTCAGTCCTGCCATTTCCCTCTCCACCGACCTCTCCCAGGTCTCTTCCCACTCAGTGGCCAATGTGAGCTTTGGGGGCTCAGGGTAAGGGGTGGACAGTCTTGTTATCTTGAGATTCCCTAGCCCCTTCATTCGTGGGGTGCCTCTGTGCCAGAAGCAAGACCAATGCAAGGGAAGGATTCAGCTCTGAGGCTGCACTTCTGGATTTCAAACTTTACTCTGCCTCTCCCTTCCCGTCTAACGTCGGGCTCACTGAGCCTGTGCTAGTATTTTACCTTCTCTGAGCCTCATCGGTAAAATGGCGCCTAATAATGGCATCTCCCTCATAAAGCCTTTGTGAAGATTCAATGAGCTAATACAGGACTCTTAGAACAGTGTCTGGCTCATAGTAGCAACTCAGTAAGTGTCCACTACCAACATCATGTTAGGTGTGTACCCTCTCTTGAACTGATGATTTCCGGAGACAGCTTGGTCTTCCGGCAAGCTTCAGATTTCTCTTCTTCCTCATTGAGATAATTCCGGTCTTGGTTGTCTCAGTCTCCCACTGTGATGCCATTTTGTACACCTTGAGGAATTTATATTCTAGCGAAACCGAACCTGCCGATGGACGTGACCGGGGTGCATTCTCTTCTTCACCAGGCATCCTTAGCCACATTGCCCAGACACCCAGAATCGCAATCCCATGCTTGGGGATTACAAACAGCAGTGGGTTTGGGGTTGGACAAGGAAATACGGTGATGCATGACAGAAATCCAGATGAGAAACAAGTCAAGGTGCAGTATTAATACCAGTGCGGGGTGGTTTTCAACAGTAATTATGGTATCCTGACTAGTGTGCTGTGGTTCAGACTGAAGACCATTGCTGGCCTTGGTGTCAAGAGGCATGGGGTCCCGTTCCCATGTTAATAACTGTGTGGCCTTGGGTGAGCAATCTCAGTCCACCGAGCTTTAGTTTCCCCATCTGCAGAATGAAAGGATGGCTCTGAGGTTGTGTGAGTGTGATACTCGGATGCTATAGTGTGGCCCTGAAAATGAGCCCTGCCCTTCCATGAGTAGGAAGTTGGCTACATGAAAACATGTGTCTTCTGCTACATTAAAAAAAAAAGTTAACGTGCTTGATTTCTGTGGGTCCTCCACCCTCCGTACTGCTGGAAAATATGAGCATCTCAGTAAATGAGAGGAGGTGACAAGGAGGCCTGTGGGGAGTCCTGGTGGGGTGTGGTGGGAGCGAGGGTGGGAAATGTGGATTGGGCCACTGCAAGGTGCTTGCCTGCTTGCTTTCTCTCAAACTGTGGCTCCAATCCTAAATTATTTTATGAAGAAGGACAGTTAGAAAACAATAATCTGGGAGGGCTAGGTTCTTGGCCAAGATGATTCTTGGGTCATCTGGAAAAGCAGCCGCAGCTTCAAGGAGAAATGGCAAATTACCAGAAATAGTGAGGTAGGTAGGGGTTGGGTGGGAAGTGCCTACACCCTCCAGGCAGAAGGAACCCAAAGAGTTTCTATTCCTGGAGACAAGTGCCTGAGCTGAAGAGGTTAAAGCAATTTGAGTGCATCTGAGTTCATTCCAGAAGGGTGGAGACGTTCAGTGCCACAAATGAGGCACTTCTGAGCCCTGCGCACTCGTCTGTGGGCGTTCAAAGAACTCAGGTCCAGCGATTCTTCACTGAAGTCCCTGACTGGGGGAAGAGGGACAGGCAGAGCCTCTGACCCCAAACAGCTGCATCTTCCCACAATGAAGACACTGGTTACTGCAGGCTGGCTGCTTTCAACTACCCCCTGACCCTCAGGAAATCTGCCGGCTCCTTCCTTGTTCCTCTTGTTTGATCCAGGGAAACTGGGATTTCTTGATGGAAAGAACAGGTTGCTCCTGGCCAGGAAGGGCCTGCAGCTGCATGTCTTCACTCCAGAGAGAATCCACCCTCCCAGAGAGGAAGGAGGTTCTTGGCTTTAAGGACCTTCCAGCATCACAGGCGGGCTTCTGGGCAGCAGAGGTCCAGTGGCTGAGCTGTCAATCTGGCCTCACCATTTCTGCTGAGCAGGGCAGTGGCTAGGACTCTGCATGTCCACGTGGGTGACCTTCTCTTTTCTGGGAGTTAGTGTCATGGGTTAGTAGACAAGATCAGGGTTCTTTCCGTTCTAAAGTATATCATTCTGTGTGTTCCTTTTATAACCTAGAGGGCCAGAAGGGGCCGAGCACCCTGGGATCAGGGCAGGAGCAGAGGCTTAATTAAGGCACTGGTCCAGTCTGGGTTCTAGTTGAGAATTGGCCCTTTTTCGGAGGAGGAAACTGAGGCCTCGAGGAGAGAAGTGACCTGCCAAAGTCACACATCTACTTCGTGGTGGGGCCAGGACAAGAATCTAACTAACCTTCTTGGTTCTTCCTCCCATGCCCGTTCTCTTACACAAAGCCAGCAGTGAGTGTGCATGGTGGCCCTGGGGCAGTGTCGTGTTTGTCCTACAGGTTCTCCTTATGGGCTGTGACCACCAGACAAGAGTTTTCAGAGACTCCTGCCTTAGTGGGGATGCTATACTGTAGTGTCCAGGGACAAATGGGCCCAGTTCCCCCACCCCCTGCCCCATGCCCCCATGCAAACCGCCATTCCTTGCCTCTTGGTCCCCTGCCCCCTTTTCCCTCCATTCACAGGCTGTTCCATGCGACCCAGTCCTGTTTCTCAGCAGTCATAGTCCCTAAACTGCTTGCCTGGTGAACTTCCCCTCCCAAACTCTTCTAGGTTTCAGAACTCTAGGGGAAGGAGAACTTTCTGGAAGGGTGAGCCTTTGGAGAGGGAAGAGTATTTGGAAGAGAGGGAATTTGAGGTTCACCCCAGGGGTTCCTCGAAGTGGCAGACGTGCCACATGTGAGCCCAGGACAGCAGATCAAGGCTGGGCATGCATCACTCATTGTTGACCCGTGTACTCTGGAGTCTGATCGCCCTCTCAGTTCTTTGGCCAGAGAAACTGTTAACTCATTAGGAGGTGTGACTATCACCTGACCGTGGGAAGCCAAGTTTGACTGCTCAGGTGGTAAACTTCTGAGTGCTCTGGATTAAATTTTGCTGATTTTCTGTACTCTGACCACTTTCCTCCTATGCCCCCTGGCCCCACTAACTCTGCTGCCCACCTTTCCCCCCAGGTCAGCATGTGCCTGCACACGCACGTGCACATAGCCCTAAAGAGAACGAAAATTGAGAACAGTTCTGGGTGTGTTTACGCGGACACCTTGGCTCCCATGGAGAACACACACAGCTCTTTCTCCGGAGAGTTAACTTAGGAGTTGCTGAGCAATCAGCTTTGACGTGGTGGAAAGAGCGCTGATGATATCCAATCGTGCAGACCCCAGTGTATGTTTCTGCTGCGTGACATGGACCTCTCTAAGCTTCAGCTTCCTTGTCTGCGCAAGGTGCTAATAGCTGTCATTCTTCCGGTGGGCTGTTGCGAGGATGAAATATGGTCATGCGTGTGAAGTGCACACACGATGTCAGCATTTAATAAATCATCACCATGATTAACTATGAGCATGAGCCTCAGTTTTCACCTTTGACAAATAGGTATAATAACATATCTGCCTCCTAACGCTGCTGGGGATGATGATACCTAGAGTAGTTTCTTGTTAACTACAAAGAAAGGCAAGGATGTAATGAAGACAATCCCGGTATCACTGATTCAACAGGGTCTTCTCTTTTAAGTGATAAGTATCTTATCCTATTTCCAACTTCTGGGCTCTTAAGGTATGTAGGTGCATTGCTGGCCCATGATGCTCAATAAATTCATTGAGATATCCGCCGCCGGTACCCCATTTTGCCCTTCCACGTCCCCGGAAGTGCTTCCCAATAGGGTTGTTGCAGGAAGTCCTAGCGTCCGCTGCAAGTTTTAGTACAAAAGGAGCGACTATCTTAGGCGGTGATCCATTTCTTTTTTCTTCCTAGCAGCCACTGAGTCAGGGGTCCCCTTGAGCTTCTGCAGCCAGTTGAGCTGTGTCCGGATAGCAGCTCGTATCCACCTCAGTCTGCTCCCTCCCAGCCCAAGGAAGCCAAATCTCTGGTTTGGGCGGGTCCTTGGCCCGTGACCCTTTGGCTGAGAATCTGAGCTTAATTCATGGTTGTCCAAAGGCAATCGCTCAGCAAGGACTGAGGCGGCTCAGGGCTGACTCCGGATGAGGAACACACTGGCCTTCCGCCCCCACCTGCCTCAGTTAGCCCTGACCAGAACCTCGCCCAGCTGTGGAACTCACCGTTTTCTGGTTTGGAAATCTGTCTCTATATAAAGCAATGGCCTTGTGGTTTAATTCTATACCTCCTTACAGGATCTCCCTGAGTAGGATTTGGGTAGAATCTTCTTAGAGAGCCACAGGGCTTTCTTCCTGAAGCCTCCTCCCTCAGCCTGTGTTGATTCCATGAATAGCCCTGCAACCCCTTGGGAGAAAGGACCTGGCTAGGAAGGTGCTGGGCTTGGTTGGACAGGGAGCGGGGATGAGCTGGAACATCCCATAGGATGCCTTTTCTTCCCATCAGGTCCCTTCTGTACCTGTCACTAATTTCTGGCTGGCTTCTGCTTCCCCCTCCCCACCTCGGCAGGACCTGTGTGGGGCCACCACCTGTGACACACTGGGCATGGCTGATGTGGGCACTATGTGTGACCCCAAGAGAAGTTGTTCTGTGATCGAGGATGATGGGCTTCCATCAGCCTTCACCACTGCCCATGAACTGGGTAAGGCTAGAGGGGGTTCTTGGGTGGAAGGGGGAGGACTCCCTCCTGGGGCTTTTCTGGGTTTGTCCTGGGTGCTTTGGGCAGGGGGTAGACATTTGTCTTTGCTTCCTCATGTCCTAAAGCCTTAGGGAGTCCTTCTTAGGGTCAGAGTCTGCCTTAGCAATGGCTTTGTCTTATTTTTTCCGATTACCCCAGCCCATTTGGCCAGCGATATTGTCTGACTCAGCAGTCAGAATATCTCATCAATTAGGCACTAAGCGGAGACGATTTTAGATACCCTGCTGTCCTCACTGAGCCCACAGCCTGATGGGCAGGACCGAGGACCCAAGAACACCATCTTGACATTTGCAAAGCAGTCTATCACTAGGTCAAAATGACCAGCCTGAAAATTGCGGACGTAGGCTCTCCAGCTTTCCTGGCTGATCCCCCGTCCTTTTAAAAGTGCAGAGCCCACGTCCTTCCGCCTTGTGAGTCCTCTTGCCTCACCCCATAGGCCACGTGTTCAACATGCCCCATGACAACGTGAAAGTGTGTGAGGAGGTGTTTGGGAAACTCCGAGCCAACCACATGATGTCTCCAACACTCATCCAGATTGACCGTGCCAACCCCTGGTCAGCCTGCAGTGCTGCTATCATCACCGACTTCCTGGACAGCGGGCACGGTAAGCCAGGGGGACAGAGGAGGGGTTTGGGTGCTGTCCCTGGAGAGAGTGCTCACCACCTCTCTGGGCCTGTCTTCTGTTGTCTAAGGCATGCATGACCCCAAAGAGTCGGGCTCTCAAGGGGGTCCATTCCACTGGACCTTGCTTCATTGTCTCCCTACCATTTAGACTCTGGGCCAGCCACGTCCCACCTTTCTCAACTCCTCTCTCACGAATGCCCTTGGCTCCCTGCAGGCGACTGCCTCCTGGACCCACCCAGCAAGCCCATCTCCCTGCCTGAGGACCTGCCAGGGGCCAGCTACACCCTGAGCCAGCAGTGTGAGCTGGCCTTTGGCGTGGGCTCGAAGCCCTGTCCCTACATGCAGTACTGCACCAAGCTGTGGTGCACCGGCAAGGCGAAGGGGCAGATGGTGTGCCAGACCCGCCACTTCCCCTGGGCAGACGGCACCAGCTGCGGCGAGGGCAAGTTCTGCCTCAAGGGGACCTGTGTGGAGAGACATAACCTCAATAAGTACAGGGTGAGTGTGTGGGAACTGCGCAGCGGGGCTGCTGGGAGGCAGGGGGCAGACTCGGAGGCCTCCAGGGGCAACGGGTTTGCAGCGCTTTGCCTCTGTTTCCCTGTCTGTGGTCCTCTCCCCGTCTTGACTCTGAGACTGGAGACAAGACATACGGTACGTCGGAGAACTTGCTGAAGCCTTCCTTAGACATGTGAGAGAAGTCTCGCACGGGGTGCCAGGAGGCCTAGCCCTCGGCTCTGGGCCTCATCCTACCTGGGGAGGAGCTCTGGACCCAAAGCCCAACACTAGCTATTCGACATCCCTCACTTGTTGGCTCCTTCCAGCCTCCCCTTATCAGCTATTTCTGAGTGTGTTTTGTTTCCAGGGAGCTCTGGGCCAGAGGTGAGCCAGCCTCAGAGCTGAAAGGAAGCAGATCCCTGGGCAAAGCTGCAGTAATTTGCTGCATCCCGAACCCAGCTTTGCTTTTTGTCAAGATTGTTTTTTGGAGCTGAAACATAATAGAGCAAAAGTTATTTTTTTCCTGGTAAAAAGGAATAACAGTTGAATCAGAACAAATCCCAAACCCCACATGTTCTCTGAATATAATAAACTCTGCAGGTCTGGGGTTGGGGTCGCAAAGGGATTGGGACTTTGTCAGACAGGAATAAGACATCCATCCTCTCCCTTGATCCTGGTGAGGATGATCCCTTTCCCACCCCTGCCGCGGCTGCAGAGGGGCTGGACTGGGGGGTTTTACGTACATGGACGCATCGGCTGCCCTGAGCTGGGTTTGGTACACAGTTATGTAAAATCCTTTTCTGTGTTTTGGAAACCTGTATTTAATTAAACCATTAGCCATTTATTGGGCACCAGCCCACTGTATTTAGGGAACTGTGTGAGGTACTGTGGTAGTCAGCAAAAGAAATAAAACCCTGGGCTGTCTCTCAGTGGGCTCGCAGTCTAGTGGGGAAACTAGAAATGTTACTATGGTCCGAGACACAGAGACGTGTGTGTTCTGTGTTAAGACTGAAGTGTGAAAACGTGTCATGGGAGACCAAGGGATGGGAGATTAATGATGATTAGAGAGGTCTGAACAAACTTTGGTGAGGAGGTCAGATTTGGAGAGAGCCTTGAGGGATGAATAGGCTCTCTCATCAGGCAGAGATGGAGCAAAGTTAGGGAGGTGGGGCAAGCTGGAGGGCTGGATGGGCAAGGACTCTATGGGAAAGATCTTTGGGGGCATGGTTTAGGGCTAGTCTGCGGTTGCCTTGACCATCAGGCTGTGGGTTTAAACTAGAAGGTCCTGAGGACAGGCCAACCGTGGTCAGCTCCTTCTCTTGGGAAGATGAGTCTAGTGGATAAAGATGTTGCCCAAGAGGTTATTGGATATAGGAAATGTGATCTGAGAAGCATATAGAAAGACAGTCTATCAGCAGCAAAATCCACTGTGTCCTCAGTCTCTTCTCTGGACAATCCCTTCACCACCCTGGCCCTTCACGGAGGACACTGCCCTGATCAGCAGATGTCAAAGCACAAACCTTATCTTCCTACTCATGCAGCCTCCCTGGCCTCCCGGGATCTCAGCTGCAAGAATCACACTCTGATCACCAAGGCCCTGTTGTCCAGCCCTCTAAATTTTGGACTCCAACAATTCTTCGGTCCCACTTGCTCTTCTCATGCCCTCATCAACCTTCTTCTTGAGATTCCATGGACCATTGTTAAAATCACTCCTTCGTGTACACTCATGGCTCCCATGTTCCTGCCTCTCTCAGCTATACTCGCTTGGATAAGGCACTGCCCTGGTGGAATCCAGCTCCCATGTGTTCAACTGTGCCACTGTGGGTGAGTGTGGCTGGAGAAAGACATGGAACTGTGCTCAGCGGTCTCAGTTTGAACTAATAACCTGACAATGTAGGTGGGCCCGCCCTCCCAGCGTCCTACACGATCACGTCACACCTTCGCCTCTCTCCTCCATTACCGACTCTTTCTCCTCATTTCCACTTTTGCCAGTGACCTTTATTTCTATCTCATTAAGAAAAAAGAAGCAATCAAGTAATCAGAAGAGAACTTCCACCAACTCCCACCGCCACATCCGCCGTCCGCCCTGCTTCGGTGCCTGTAATATCTACCTTTCTTCCTTTGCGATGAATGAGCTGTCCACGCGCTCATCGGAGGCCCGGCGCTGTGCTTTGCACTTAGGATACTGTCCCCTCTTTTCAAGGAAAGCACTCCTTTAATTCTTCCATCTCTCTTCTGCAGTGTCAGATTTCCCCTCTCTTGAGTGGAATCATTCCTATCAGGATACAAACTTGCTGTAATTCCTCCCACCTTAAACAAAACTTCTCCTAATCCTACTTCCTCTCCATAAATCACAGTGTATCTCTCCGACTCCCCTTCCCACAAAGTTCCTGGAAAGAGTGGTATGAAATTCCTCTCTCCAGTTCGCGTCTTGCCATTTTTTCTCTGGAGCCCATTCCAGTCTGGCTTTCAGTCCTACTCTCCCTCTAAAAATAACTCTCACTAAGGTCGCCAAATGGCCTCTACACTGCTGAAGTCAGTGATTGATTATCATTCCTCATATTGCCTGACCTGTTAGCAGCATTTGACACAGCTGATTACCGTCTCCCTTGGGAACACAGGCTCCACTGTGTCTTGGTTTCCCTCTTCCCTTACTGGCTGCCCCTTCTGGTCCCCTTCACTGGGTCTTCCTCACACTCTTGCTTTTCCAATGTTAGGCATTCTAGCTCTGTCCTTAGCCCTTGTCACTATCCACACTGACCTCTTAGGTGATCTAGACCAAAGGCTTTAAGTACCATTTACGTTTATACGTTGAAGTCCCCCAGATTTGTATCCCCAGCCCAGACCTCTGTCCTGAACTACAGACTGGCATGCCTCACTGGATCTTGATACCTCCATGTGGATAACTGATAAGCATCCTAAACATAACATCTGTAAGACCAAGCTCCTGATCATCTGTCCTGAACCTGCGTTGGCAACTCCATCCTCCCATTGCTCGTGCCAACCCTTTTTTCTCTCACATCCATCCGTTATTTCAGTAATTTCTGTTGACTCTATCTTCAAAATAGAGCCAGAATTGAGTCTTTTTTTTTTTTACTACCTTATCTTCGATCACCCTGTGCCAAGCTACCTTGGATTATTGGTCTTGCACCCTAACTGATCTCCTTGTTGCTGGTCTTGCTCCTCACAGATTGTTCCTACCATAGCAGCCAGAAGGATCCTTTAAAAGTAGGTTAGGTCATGCCACATGCTCAGAACCCTTCAGGGGCTCTCCTCCATGCTCAGGATGGTGAGCCCTATCTCTGCCTTCATTTCCTGCTTCTCTTGCTCTTGTGATGCTGGAGTACTCCAGGCCCCTCCCTCCTCAGGGTCTTGGCATTGCTCCCTCGGCCTAGAGTTCTTTCCTCATATCTGCACGAGTCCCTCCCATACTCCCTTCAGGCCTTTGCCCTGCTGTCACCTCTGCAGTGAAGCCTCTGTGACCCCCTGTAATATAGAGCAGCCCACCTCACCAAGGCCCTCCTTCCGTCCCTCTCTCCCACCTGCATTTAGCCCCTCCTGACATTCTGTATGCACAGACTTATTTTTAGTTTTTTCTGCTGGGATGCAGTCACTTCGAGGGCAGGGATTTGCTGCACATGGCGCCAGCCATTAGTAAGAATTCAACAAACATTTGGTGAATGAATGGCACATGGCAGGGCAGGAGTGTTTTCTGAGGGATGAATGTTTTCTGTAGGAACAGGTAGGAAAAAATGATACCAGGCTAAAAACAATAGTAACAACAACAACAACCACAACCACACAGCATCATCTCAGAAGCCACAGAGACAATGTTAAGAACTGAAGAAAAACTGGAGACTACAAGGTCTAAGCTTAGACTCTTTCAGTTTATGGATGGTCATCTCTTTGAGAGAGAGCTTCTCTGATGTGATGGGGACCAAGCCCATATTGCAAGGAGGGAGGAGGTACTGAGGAGGGAGGAGGTACAAGGAGCAAATGTAGACCCTCTTAGGAAATGGAAGGCTGGAATGAGGTGGGGCATTATTGGAGGAAGAAGCGGGGCTATTGGCAAGTGTTTCTTTCATAGGAGGAGAGACATGGTGACACAGTGAAGCAAGAACTATAGGACAGAAGGGCAGACAGAATAACTATGCTGCATGTGGGCATAAGTTAAAGTATGTAAATGACATGCAGCCAGTTCCTGATTAGCTCCATGCGGGTTAGTCACTTTGGATGATGGATGACAGCATTTTAATCCCAGGCTTGTACAACTGGGCTGCTTCCTCCGTTGCCTGACTGATGTGCGTTCAGGGGATGAAAATTTGCTTTACTGGCATCCTGAGAAAAACATAATGAGGAGGATACATTTTCTATCCCTTCTCCACCCTCTTAAAAAATGAAACAACACTGCCTAATTCACCTCAAAGCCAAATAGAGTTTTGGGATTGCTTTGTAGTTTCCTATCCTCGTCTCCTCTGAGCACAAACATTAGAACCTCTTATGGTGAAAATTTCTCAAATTCAGCCGCTGATTGAGCCTAAGATCTGGTTCAGTCTGGGTTGGAGAGAAGTCGGAATTATGGAACATTTACAAATAAAAATATTCAGATGTCTATGGCAACAAGGTTTCCTGGCAAGGCTGGGGACTGCCTCTGCCGTAGATTTAGAGACTCTTGTAAATACACTAACAATAGGTAAGGAGAAACTTTGAACTCTTGTTCGGTGGCAAGCACAGTGCTAGGAATTTTCATACACGTTGCATCATTTAAACTTCTGTCTGATCTCACACCTGAGTATTATTGGCCCCATTTTTGCAGATGAAGCGCTTGAAGTTTAAAGAGGTTTTACTACTTGCTCAAGACCACCCATATGGTGAGGGCAGACGTGATGATAGAATTTGGCCACCTGACCCCAGAGCCCAAAGAGGTCTCTCTTCTGAGCAACCGCATTTATAACTGGGTGTAGTTGACATTTGCTAATTACCAGGTTGAAGTGTTGTGTGGGCGCCGTGTACGCTGACCATTTGCTTGTCATTTTTCCCTTGGGATACACAGTGGATTTCCTTCCGGTGGGATGGAATCATGGAGGCTGTACCCGTGTAACTCTTCTGCAGGGTCAGGGTGTGGATGTGCATCCCAACCCCTGCAGGAGTAAGACGGACTCTTTCTCATAGGTGGACGGCTCCTGGGCCAAATGGGAGCCCTATGGCGCCTGCTCGCGCACCTGCGGTGGGGGTGTGCAGCTGTCCCGGAGGCAGTGCCGCAACCCCACCCCTGCCAACGGGGGCAAGTACTGCGAGGGAGTGAGAGTGAAATACCGATCCTGCAACCTGGAGCCCTGCCCCAGCTCAGGTGAGGAGGGGAGGGCCCCTCCCCCTGCCCCCCCCCCTACTTTTTGGCTGCAAATTACGCAGTCAAGATTTCTCTCCCCTAGGGCGAAGTCTGGAAGTGCCGAGGAGCAGATTCCTCTTGGCATCACTTCTTTGCCCACTCCCCTTGGGCAGGAGTGTTTTCTTCTTGATGCTTAGGCTGGGATGCTAAGTGGCCCAAGGGTATGACACACCAGATGGCCCTTTAGTTAAGAGCTTACAAGCCCATCTTCATAAGCAGGAATTCTTTATCCAGGGTCCATGAAATTGGGTGGGAAGGAAATTACATCTCTATTTTTACTCGCCTTTTTTTATTTCCTTCAATTAGAAATTTAAATATTTTTTTTTACTACTCTATCTAAAATTTATTATTTCTTTTAATCAGGCAACAAACTATAATACTACTAGCAGTACGCGTGACTCTGTCCCCAATAGAAATTGTGGATATTTTCATATGACTGTTCAGTTGTTGGGGTTTCTCAGAATGCCATTTATTGTCATCACTACTTGAAAATGACAGTGGTTATTAGACTCATTACTGAATCTTGTTATGTAACGGGTTAACAAGGAAGTGCAAATATCACAAATATGTTTCAATATATATTGATAGTTGTGTATCATATAATTGGTATTGTTTGTAACCTATGTAATTTATTTTATCCAACTTAATAACATTCTGAAAATAGTTTCAAAAGACTGCCGAAGGGTTTGATAGCCCAAAACTGTCCGGGATACCTGTTATAGAGGAAATCAAAGGCCAGATTACTGTGGAAGGTGGCACAGTGCCTGGGGGATGCATGATCCTCTGTGACCTGCATCCTTTGGTCCTAGCCTACTTTAGTTCTTTGAGATGGGGTGGCGTCAGTGATGAGGATAACTTGGCTGAGGGTAAGAGCTGCTGAGAGCCACAGGTGGCTGAGCATCCTGGGGAGGGGTCTACCCGCACCGCCCTTCCCTTTAGCTTCCTGCCTGTGCTTCCTCCCTCCTCAGCTTCAGGCAAGAGCTTCCGGGAGGAGCAGTGTGAGGCTTTCAATGGCTTTAACCATAGCACCAACCGGCTCACCCTCGCCGTGGCATGGGTGCCCAAGTACTCCGGCGTTTCTCCCCGGGACAAGTGCAAGCTCATCTGCCGAGCCAATGGCACCGGCTACTTCTATGTGTTGGCACCCAAGGTGAGTGAGCGTGGGGCAGGAGACCAAAGCAGAGAGAAAGTCTTTGGGGATGCATCCGGCTGAGCTGCCCCTCTCTCCTTTTCTCCCCTGTGGGGGGCACTGCAGGTGGTGGATGGCACACCATGCACTCCTGACTCCACCTCGGTCTGTGTCCAAGGCAAGTGCATCAAGGCTGGCTGTGATGGGAACCTGGGCTCCAAGAAGAAATTCGACAAGTGTGGGGTGTGTGGGGGCGACAATAAGAGCTGTAAGAAGGTGACAGGCCTCTTCACCAAGCCCATGTGAGTTCTGGGTCCTGGAGCAGGGGGAGGAGGGCTGAGTGGAGCTGACCCCAGGCGGTGAAAGCTTGGGTCAGACTGGGATAAACGGGCAGTGCCCTTACTGTAGAGGCCACTTGGACTCTTCTGCGAGTGTGATATTCATTCATTTCTCCATCCATCCATCCATCCGTCCATCCATCCATCCATCTATCCAGTAGAGATGAATGCTTGCAGAGTCCACCCCTGAAGAGGAGAGGCTAGTGAGGGAGATGGCAGAGAGTCATTAGGGTCTATCTAGAGTTCTAGAGTAAGACTCACCCATGTTTAAATCTCAGTTCCCCATTTTCTGGATGACCTTGAGCATGTGACACAATCTTTGGAATTCTGGATTTGCTCACTTATACGTGGGTATGACATGAATATATTTCCTGTCGTGCTGTTGTGAAGAATAAGGGTGTTAATCCAAGTAAAAAAAGCTTAGCGTTGTACTTGGTGCATAATAAATGCTCACTAAATGTTCATGATGATAATCACAAAACAAAACATGCCTGGAAACAGATGTGACAGCCTCCCCGTCTCACTGAGGCTGAGGCTCTGTCCTCAGGGATGAGATTGAGGTGAGAATGGCAATAAACAGCAGAGCAGGAGGCTAGGACCCAGGGATTCCCCCTTCCTGGGAGATGTGTGCAGGGTCAGCTGAAGAAGTGTCACTAGGCCTCTCTGATTCCCACCTCCAGAGCCTGGGGCTCCTGGCTTTCTGAAGTCCAGCATATTCCCTTTTATTTTCAGGGGGAATGTGCTCCTTGGAAAGTCCTGACCCATGCTCTGGAAGAAGCTGGGGGAAGCAGAGCCCCCGAAGTCTCAGTTGAGCAGGGATATGGTGGGCTCTGAAAACTTGGGAGTCCAAGGCCTAGATGGCCGTCCAGGAGTCTTGGCTGCCCCCTCTGGACGCAGCGCTCTCTGCTGGGCCCCTAGCTGGGCAACTTTTCTGGGAACTGGGACTGGGGGCACTGCAGGTGGATGGCGTTCGCAGGGATCTGAGAGGGAGGCCAAGTGGAGAATTAAAGGTAAACACTCCCAGACTTGCTTCACTGGCTAAATGGCAGGTGCTCCTTTCACAGACTAGTGGAGCTGGAAGGAGACTTAGAAATCATCTACTTTGACCCCCTCGTTGTATAGGCGAGGACACTGGAACCCAGAGAGACTGATTTGCTTGAGCCACCAGGGAGTTGGTGTCCAAGGCTTGATCTGGGTGCCCGACTTCAGGGCCAGTGTATCTTAATGGGGTGTCTGGCCCCAGCTTTGGACTCAGGGATGGTAGACTTATTGTTTTTGCCCCTCCTCCTCATCCTTCTCACCGTTAATATATGTTAAGTGCTTACTGGGTGGCAGGTCCTATGCCATAGGCTTTATGTGCTTTAAGGAGGTATGTGTGAGTATGATCTCCATTTTCCAGGTGAGACAACCGAGAAGCTAAGTGACTTATCCAAGGCCACTCGCTGAGTCAGTGGTAGGGATGGATCTGGCTCCAAAACCTTGGCTTTACTTTGCCTTAGAATTCACCACGGTATAGAGGCACTGGGTGGCACAGTCGGTTGAGCATTTGACTCTTGGTTTCGGCTCAGATCGTGATCTCATGATCTCAGGGTCATGAGATCGAGCCCCGCGTTGGGACTCTGAACTCAGTGGGGAGTCTGCTTGAGATTCTCTCTCTCTCCCTCTGCCCCTGCCCCCGCCCTTGCTCTCTCTCTCTCTCTCTCAAATAAATAAATAAATGTTTTTTTCTTTTTTAAAAAGAATTCACCACAATATAAATATACTGAAGAAAAAAGATCGCAGGGCGATACAGCCAGGGTATGTAGCTCTAGATGATGTGGTGACACTCTCATACCGCCTTTCAGTTTGTGTGTCCCCCTGACCTCCCTTGGGGTGGTTGAAGCCATCTGGATAGTCTCTGTACCCTCCCTGCCATCTTGGTGACCTGCCACTGGGTTTGTGAAAGGGGAATCAGCTGTGACTTCGGTGGGGAACAAGGACCTTATGTCCAGGCATCTGTCTAAGGCACAATCCCCTTTCCCACCCCAGGCACGGCTACAATTTTGTGGTGGCCATCCCCGTGGGCGCCTCGAGCATTGACATCCGCCAGCGTGGCTACAAGGGGCTGATTGGAGATGACAACTACCTGGCCCTGAAGAACAGCCAAGGCAAGTACCTGCTCAACGGGCACTTCGTGGTGTCGGCCGTGGAGCGGGACCTGGTGGTGAAGGGCAGCCTCCTGCGCTACAGCGGCACGGGGACGGCGGTGGAGAGCCTGCAGGCTTCCCGGCCCATCCTGGAGCCACTGACCGTGGAGGTCCTCTCCGTGGGCAAGATGACGCCACCCCGGGTCCGCTACTCCTTCTATCTGCCCAAAGAGCCTTGGGAAGACAAGGCCTCCCACCCCAAGGACCCCCGGGGCTCCTCTGTGCACCACAACAGCGTCCTCAGCCTCTCCAATCAAGTGGAACAGCAGGACGACAGGCTCCCTGCGCGCTGGGTGGCAGGCAGCTGGGGACCTTGCTCTGTGAGCTGTGGCAGTGGCCTGCAGAAGCGGGCGGTCGACTGTCGCGGGCCCCCCGGGCCACGTGCGGCATCCGCCTGCAGTGCAGCCCATCGGCCAGTGGAGACAAGAGCCTGTGGGGAGCCCTGCCCGACCTGGGAGCTCGGCACCTGGTCGCCTTGCTCCAAGAGCTGCGGCCGGGGGTTTAAGAGGCGTCCACTCAAGTGTTTGGGCCCCGGAGGGCGGCTGCTAGCTCGGGACCAATGTAACCTGCGCCGGAAGCCCCAGGAGCTGGACTTCTGCATCTTGAGGCCGTGCTGAATAGGACCGTCTTTTTCTCCTCCTCACTCTCTGCCCCATTGGTGCTGCCAGGGTTCTGGCCAGCTGGAGGGCCGTGGGTAGAGGGCAGTGGCCAGGGGTCCAGGCCATGACGTCACCCACTTCGAGGGACGAGGACCACGGGACGGGGTGAGAGGTGCCCTCCTCCTCCCTGGCCTGGGCGGGGGCAGCCAAGTGACTAACGCACGAGTCTACCTCACTCCCGGCTCCTCCAGGGCCCAGGCTCTGGGAGAGGCTGAGAGGTGCGGGCACTGGGCAGAGGCGCTGGGGCCCAGTTTCCGAGGGACCTGGAGGATGGGCACCTCCCAGGCAGAACTTCAGGGACCTTGGCCCCCGTAAGGGAGGCCACAGGCTGCTGGAAGAGCCATGGCCCAGCAGCTTGGCACCCTCAGGTGGCCCCGGGGGCTCTAAGCCGTTTCTGAACAAGGCAGGTTTTTATGGTGCTGTCAGCCCCCCTTTTCTTTCTGACTGACAAGGACTGAATAATAGAAAAAAGGCTGGTGTGGGCAGAAGCCTGGTGGGAGAGTGGGATTAGGTATAACTGGAGCCTGGTCTACCCCATTTGGAAAGAAGTTTATGTGTAGGGGGAGTCGGGAGCTTTCTCATCTTCCTTCTACTCCTGGCCCTCCCTCAAGAGCCCCTTCTTCTTCCTGTTTGTCCAGGACGTCAGGCTGCGGGGTGGGCTTCCCAAGTATGTGCCCTCTGAGGCTTTGCAAATAAGTATAGGAAGTCGATAGGGCGTTTATTGCCTTCTTCAGGAGGGATTGGACCATTAAAAAAAGATAGAAGGGATGATGGATTCTGTGGTGAAGCAGGGAGTTCGAGGAGTGGCCTAGAGGGTTCCGTGTCACCGGGGCTGGGCTTGAGCTTTGCGGGAGTTATCACCCTGGGTTGGGGACGAGGCCCCAGTTCCAATGGCTTCTTCCTCCAGAGAGGCAGGGGTGACCAGGACTGTTGCCCTAGGCTCTGTGTTGCCCCAGAGAAGCTTCAGAGTGGCCACGGTCCTGTCCCCACTAAGAGGGGTGTGGGAGATGCCCAGGAGGGCTAGGTGCTGAACATCCACATGCCTGTAGGTGGGTCTTCATCTGGACAGCTGCATGTGGTCTGGCTTTGGGCACATCACATGGCGTTGCAGTTGGATAACGGGGTTCACTGTTTGCTACCTCAGGCTATGCTCTCTGGGTACCCACACCTGTCCCTCCCCTGGGGCAGTGGTGACCCTGGTGCTTCCAGCAGACCTGGCTGTTGTCCTCTGCAGACTGAGCTGCCCAGACACAAAGATGAGTGTGTGGCACATGGCTGCCTGCTCCCTATAGCCTGGCCACCCACTGGGGCTCCAAGTATGAAGGCAGGACCTCTCTCTTCAGGTGCCTTGGGGACAGGTTTCAGGAGACACAAGAATCAATGACCTGACCCAGAGGCACTTGGCAGCCACCAGTCGGAACGCGTGTCTATCCTAGAGACGTGTTGGGGATGTAGAAACCAGGGTGTTTCCTATAGCTCCAAGTGGGCAGATGTTTTGGGGTTAGAGAGCCTTTGGTCAAGCAGGGTATTTCTTGAGGGTGCAGCTGCTCCAGCATGAACATGGGAGATCCTGCTTCTGAGTTAGGGAACATGTCCTGGACTTTAGTGAGGTGACCTCAGAGCAAGTGTCATCCCTGAGAAAGGGGGTTAGGTCCTTTTATTTGGCTTCCCCTAATAGTCAGAATCCACAAACCAGCCACCCAGGCAAGCCTCTGGGATGGTGCTCCAATCCCAGCCTAACCCTGGGCTGAGCCCTTGACCAGAGCTCCCACAGCAGGGCAGAGGGCGTGCGGATCTCTGAGGCAGGGCAGGAGAATGAAGTGAGGAGGAATCTTCCTCCTTGAATGGGTGAACACTGTGGGGCGGCAACATCCAAAGGGACCCAGGGCGCCAGGGCAGATGTGGACCCCTACTAGCCTAGCCGACGATAGCACTGCACCCCGTGCTTGGTGCATCCATCCTCCACGAGGAGAGGGTGGCGCGGGGGCTGTGCGGAACGGGCAGGGGAATGGGGAGGGTGGGAAGCAAGCTGCCATCCGTGGGGGTGACTGGTCCCCTAGCAGAGCAGCTTTATAAATCATTTCCAGGTGGGACAACCTATCTTGTTCCTGACACAAGCTGGGCCTCAAATGCTCTTTTCTGTCATGATGTTTTTCTTTTTCCTTTTTTCCTTTTTAAAAGAAGTATGACCAAGACAACTTGGGAGGTTTGTCTTATCTTTGACCGTTTTGCTAATCCAACCATGTTCTCCAAGCCTGAGCAGAGACGAGCCTCGAGGTACAGGTTTCTGGTGATGGAATAAAAAGTTAAGGTGGTATCTCATGTCCGTAGAAGACGAGGAAGATTCTGGGGGCTCCAGAAGCTTCTTCCATGGGGTGTGGACCAGTAAGGATCTGGGCTCAGGAGCCCCCTGTCTCCTCTGCCCTTTGTGTGCACTGATTGGAGGAGTCCAGCCTTGTGAGCCTCGCCGTGCTGGAGTAGGGGGCTGGGGCGAGCTGAAGGGCTTGGTTGTTCCCAGCCTGGGAGTTGGCTCCCTAAGGCACTTGACACTGTCACTTACAGAGCCCCCCTTTGTGTTTGGTTCTTTTGCATCCCACGTGCTGCAGAAGGACGGGAGGACTGGGTACTGGCTGGGCTGTGTATACCGTGTATACATGGGAGCTGGTTGCTGCAGGGACAACAGCCTGCTCCTAATAAAGTTGTAAGTATTTAACATCCGTGTCCTGCTTCTGTGACGTCATCTCATTCCCACCTCCCTCCCCCAGGTCTGCTGAACAGGCCCGACATGGCAGCCATGTGCTGGGGTCTCCAGTGCTGCGGTGACAAGGCCAGGCACAGGCTCTGTGCCACGCAACCCCGAGTCAGCAAACAGCCAGGGAGCAAAGATCCGGAAGAGTGACGGATCTGGGGGCGTGTGGGGGGGGAGGGGCCATGAGCGCCTGGAAGAGGATGGGACACAGCCCTGTTGAGGGGGTGGGGGGGCCTCCCAGCAGAGGGACAGCATGCTGGGGCTTGGTGACCAGAAGGAGCGGGTGTGCAGGAGGGTCTGAGAGAAGGCCTCTGGGGCTGGACCGTGGTGAGGGGGGCAAGGCACAAGGAGAAGCTGGAGGGTCCCTTAAGTGGGGTCTCCCAGGCACCTGCCTTAGGGGGAAATCCCAAGTTTCCTGAGGGAAAGTTTCATTCTGTTTGACGAATGTTCCCCTCTTCTCAGCTCTGTTTCGGTCTGACAATGGTAGCAAATACACAGGCAGGGGAGTGGTGTGACACATTTTCAGGGACATCCAACTAGGAGTCCAGAAACTCGCGTTGGTCTTAGACCAGAGATCCTATCTCAGGACCCCATTTTCTATCTGCAAAGTGAGAAAGGTAGACTTAACGTTCCTTCAGGGTGTTCCAGCTTTAACAGTCTGGGTTTCTAGGCACAGTGATGGTTTACACTTTGGCGGATGATTGTTTGGTGTCAGTTTGGGGCTGAACGGGCTCCCTCTCATGCCTTCCCTGCAGGCAGGGGTAAATGACTTCTTTAGGGGCTGATTGTACACCTAGGGGCCCAGGGCGAGGGGGCCGGAGTGGGAGTGTGGACAAAGCTTCAGCATTTGATAGATAGAAGGTTCTGGTGGAAGGAGGAGTTAGCCAGAAGAGTCCACTTGACACGACGACCTAGTTGGAGGCCTGGAAGGGACCAGGAGGGTTGATGTCTAAGCTAGAAGTCATCAACTTCAAGGTCTTTGTAAAATGTCTCAAGACATTGGCATATTTGGGCTTGTTATTTTATTTTTGTTACCCCTTCTGTTTTGCATTGTAGCGACTGCCAGTAAAACCTTTCTAAGGAAAATTCCCACGGGTTGGTCTCTGGGTAAAGGAAAATGGTTTCTTTACTTACAATGTTTCTGACACCAAATGTGTGTGTGTGTGTGTGTGTGTGTGTGTGTGTGTGTCTGCGTGTTTCCCACGCCAACCAATTTTCCAACTCTCCAGACACCAATTGAGTGTCCTAGAATTTAAGTCATTTCTGACAGTAACTAGCTGGAATTAGAATCAGGTTTAAGGGCTCAGTCCCAAGACACTGCCTTCACTTCGGACACTAGTCACAAGCAGTGGGTCCCCAGGGTCCCCACACTTCTGACTGACTTAGCTACAAAGTTGAGTGTTCCCACAGTCCCTGGGGAGGTTTGATCATTTGCTGGGTTGGCTCACAAAACTCGGGGAAACATTTACTTATGTTTACCGGTTTATTATTCAGGATATGATAAAAGATATAAATGAACAGCCAGATGAAGAGGTGCACAGGGCAAGGTTGGGAAGGGTCCCAGAGTGAAGGAGTTTCAGTCCCTGTGGAGTTGGGATGTGTCACCCTCCTGGTGTGTTCATCAGTGCCAAAGCTCTCCAAACCCTGTGGCTTGAGGATTTTGGGGGAGGTTTTCTCATATAGGCACGATCAATTATTAATGCAATTTCCAGCCCTTTTCCTCTCTCTGGAGGATGGAGGTTGGGCTGAAAGTTCTCAGCTTCTAGTCACGGCTTTGTCTTTCTGGTGACAAGTCCCCATCCTGAAACTATCCAGAAGCCCACACAGAGTCACCTTATTAGAACAAAAACCACTCCTGTCACCCAGGAAACCAAGGGATTTAGGAGCCCTGTGTCAGGAGCCAGGGTCAAAGACCAAACAGAACAAAAGATGCTGCTCGTTCCTTTATTACTTGGGAAATTTAAAGGGCTCTAGGAGTTCAGTGTCGGGAACCAGGCGCAGAGACAAATGTGTGTTCATAATGTTGCAGGAGCTCAGCAAATAAAAGAAGAAGGAGAGTAGTCTGAGTCCCACCCTGCAGCCAGTTGGGCGGTCCTGGAGAGCCAAGTAAGGTAAGGTAAGGGGGTAGCATGTCACACTGGGGCCATCTGGAGCAGACCAATCTGCCTGAATTTTCAGGCTTTCTGGAGAAGGAAGGAGTGGTTTCCTA